GGCTGGGCTGTCCTTGTACTTTTAGGATTCACAGAATGCCCTGTGTACCTGGGCTCTGGTCAGCAACACATTGGCAACATTATAGGTGACCAGGCTCCAGCCCTTCCCTGACTGCCTTCTGACCCCAGAGGCCATGGGCTTGTCCACCACGATGCTCCGCAGCTCATGGGCCCCATGAATGCTCCCTCAGTACAAGTGTGAGCTGTTGGAGGTGCTCTGAGCTCAGTGCTCAGCTGTGTCTCCACCTGACACAAGAGTGACACCCACAGACCGACATTACAGGAGGGCTCTGCACGTGGGCTTGGCAAGGTGGCTGAGGCCGCCTGAGTGTTCCCAGAACTTGCTCTCAGGGAGGGACTGGAAAAGGAGATGGGCGTGGGTGGATGATGTGTGGGTGCATTTAAGGCAAAACCTACCAGGGCAGGGAGAGTGCAGAGCACCGCCTCACGGGACATCCTGTGGAGGCCTTATGGGGTAAGATTGTGGGCGGCAGAGGACAGAAGGTGAGGTTCTGGTGGTGTCTGCAGAGCTGGAGGCACAGCAGAGGTGGATGGGACCATGTCTCTCCCTTCAGCAGGTTCTCAGGATGCAGGTGGTTCCCCAGGGGAAGCGGGACTGGTGCTGGGACATCTCCCTGGACCAGGTTCTTAGACTCACCGGGAACAGGGCCCAGCAGGGCTTCCTGCTTCCATCTGGGGAACACAGAGAGGTGGGCGCTTCCAGGCTCACGGAGGGGCAGTGCCTGCAGGGTCCGACCGGACACCTCCATGTGCAGCCATGTCAGTGAGAGGCATTTGGCTAACTGCCCCCAAAGGGCTCCTCCTGGGGCAGAATGAGGTGCTGATCACCCTCAGGTGAGGTTTAGGACCTGGACTCCGTGTTCCCTACTCAGCACTGCGTGGAGGGTGGAGAACTTTGCTCTCAGTGATTGGACAGGAATCCCTACAATGTTTTCCTTGTCAACCCAGAGAGAGACCATCAGGGACATGGTGACAGGAAGG